ATATATATATATATATATACACACACACATGTATGCTTCACATTGATAATGAATGCTTGCACCCACATCTACTCTAACTCACAGAAAAGAGTAATGCTATAGATACGTGTGAAAGTTGTATGCTGTTGCATATAATAGCTCGCACAATTATATTGAAATCCAATTGAACAAACTTTCCTTGCTCTCTCCGGGCATCTTTGTTAATCCTTATGGGTTAGAGAAGAAGCCGAGATGATGAGAGAAAGTAATGTGGCTTGTATTGCAGTCACTTTGAAATTTAAACAATTGATCTGGACTAGAGCTTATTTCCTTGAGCCCTACAATTGTACATTCTTTTTCACGCAATGCCATAGCATAGTAGTATTCTGCATTTGGCGTTTTTTTGACAATTCATGCGATGTATATTGCAAAATACTTTGACAGGATGTGGGATTCACTTGCAATGCCTTCTACAATGGTCTTTTCTTAATCATAACTTATTTTTTCTTTTGTCCACAAGCTTTGACTATTAGTGCATGGATTCCATTTTTATCTGTTTGTTAGGTCACTCAAATGGGTTTTAAATTTTTATTATGATATTTTGTATAAGTTTTACTCTTCTCCACTTTCTCCTTTCTGCCCCAACTGTTTAAGTTGGCTGAATGGATTCTTCTTCAATCTACATTCATTCATGCTGAGCTACATATGGTGCCATCTTTAATTTGCATACGAGTCTTTTTTCCACTACTTAAGTTCTAACAATGTTAACTTTGGTTAGTCTTTTTTGATTCCTAATTTTTTATTATGCCATCTAAGCTTCTCATTAAGTACAAATATTTTTCTCAATGTTTTCTAATATAATTATCTCTCTCACTCTTTTAAATTCATATTAAAATTCTCATTTGTGCCGAAGCTAAATATTCTATGATTGATTTATTGCTCGTTTTAAAACTTCATATTGCATATATGTGTTATAATATTTACTATTCTCTATTTGTTATTCATGTAGGCATCCATTTAGCTAGTTACAACTTTTGATATTTATGGCTTCATCGATATTCCCATGCTTTTGTTCAATAGATCCAAGATACGTAACCTTATCTTTCTTCTCTATAACTTGATATTCTAGCAATATAGATTGAAAGTTTTCAATTTTCATCGAGTAAAAATACATGGTATGTTCTCAGTTCCTACTCTAAAACTCTTATATTATTTTATTCCCATTGTTTTAACCTTTCACTTCATAGGATGTTTCTCCTATTATTGCTTTCATATGCAAATAGTTTGTATCAATGTATCTAAGTATGTCTATAACTAGTTTAAATTGGACTAATTTAATGATGATTATTGATGCGATCTTAGTCAGTCAGTAACTATTATAACACTAATCATCGATCCATTTATATTTCAGCTATAAATCTCAAAATAATTTTGAGTCACGTAATATTAGATTTATTAGGTTTTTATAGCCGTTATTTATTAATTTCCCTTATTCTGCATTATGCAGTTCTCTTTTTATATTTATTATGTTTTTATTTCTTTGATTGCATTTTTATTTCTTTATTTGAGCTCATTGTAATTAAATTTGAATGCCACTCTTTGTATCAATGAGAAATATGTTGACTTGATCACCAATTCAACCTGATATCAAAACTATGACTCTAACCCTAGTGGGCCATCTTAGCCGCTAGCCACCTGCAGGTCTTCTTTCTGCCAATTTCCACGTATCTGCAGTTTTTAGATTTGCAGAATTCTTCCTGCTGTTTTTTCAAATATTTAGTTTTCCACAGATTTGTTGTTTTCTTTCTGCAATTTTTCATAATTAATTTGTCTGGAATCCTTACCTGTCGTGAAGTATTCGTGTCGGTGATTCTAGTAGCTGCTGGCTCCAATAAACAACTGGCCTTCCTTCTATTTACAGTTTTCTTTTGCCGTGGCATTACTAGATTTCATTGATTGATCAAAATGCTAACATCCCCTTTGGCTCCGTTGGAATTATGGTAGATTCCTCCCAACTCTGATCCACTTTCAGAAGTTTTTCTTGTTTCCACCGGAGGATCAACTCCAATTTCTACTCCCTTGCAGATCAGAGGATTGGAAACTAAAATGAATTTCTTATTCACAACCCATAAAATCTATTTTTCTTGGGTACTCCGCCACTCAAAAGGATTATAAAAAAATTTAATCCTACCAATAGTAAAATCTATGTGAGTGCTGATGTTTCCTTCTTTGAAAGTGTTCCCTATTTTCTAGCTTGGCCCCTAGTGAGGGGGAGCTTGGTTTCTTGAACCCGCTACCTCATTACAGGGCCTTTACTCCAATACCGGCGACATCCTCAACACGACCCCTCCGAATTAGGAGTCGAGGTCTCCGATTAAGCAAAAATTTTTCTGTGCGGACTCCTGACGTAGCTCTACGTGCGGCGCAGAGTATTCCTGAGTTATTTTCAGGTTATTTCTGGGTTATTTTCAGTAATTCGGAAATAACCAAGAAATAACCCGCGGTATTTATTTTTGGGTTATTTCTGGGTTATTTCAGGATTATTGAAAATAACCCAGAAATAAACTGAGAAAATAACCCAGAAATAAAAAATAAACTGAAAATAATTCAGGAATAACCTGCACCGCACGTAGAGGACGTAGATGTACGTCAGGTGTCAGGACAGAAAATGCGCGCCCGAGTAAGGTATGCAGTTAGACATGCACCCTATTTTTTATGGAAAAAATGTCTTTCTTCGCAGTTTATCGCTGACCTACAAAGCATTTGCTACTGCCCTGACAGAATGCAAGGTCCCAACTACTATTGAGATTGCTCTTGCTAATCCAGTCTAAAAAATGACAGTAATGAAAGAAATGAATAGCCTTCAGCGGAACCATACACGGGAAATCGTTGATCTTCCTCAGTGTAAGAAAGCTGTGGGGTGCTAATGGATTTTCAAAACCAAGCTCAACTCTGATGGATTCTTTGAAAGCAATAAGACACGGTTGGCCGCTAAAGGACACTCATGGACCTAGGAAGTTGACTATGAAGAGAGATTTGCTCTAGTGACTATTCGGGTCCTGTTGCCCCTTCCAGTGAATCTGGATTAACCTTTATGCCATCTAGATGTCAAGAATGCATTTTTGTATGGAGAGCTTACAAAAAAGGTATATGTCTCTTCCTCCTGACTTTGACTTTACTGCCTCCAGAGGGCAAATTGTGCAGGTTGTGAAACTCCCTCTTTGAGTAAAGTAGTTCCTAAGGGCTTGTTTCGACAAATTCACATAGGTGATTGTGGGCCATGGTTTTTCTTAGGCTGAATCATATCACACTTTTTTTGACATTCTTCCAATGACCAGGTAGCTATTCTTATTGTTTATGTTGATGATATTATTTTTCAAGGAAACCATCTTCCAACATTAGAAAGTTCTTTGAAATGAAAAAATTGGGTTCTCTTCGGTACTCTTTAGGCATGGAAGTGGCTTGATCATCTCGGACGTTTGCCTATCTGAGCGCAAATATGTTGTTAATCTCTTGACAGAGAACAATATTCTTCTGTGCAAACCAGTGGCTGTCCCTATGAATCCCAATGAAAAATTATCTGACTTTCTCAATGCCGTGTCGATCAAACAAGACTCACTACCAGCACCTTGCTACCAGCACCTTGTGAGGAAACTCATCTACCTCACTCATACTCGCCCCGACATATGCCACGCAGTTGGTATAGTAAGAGAATTCACGCGTGTCCCCCATGAGCATCATCTTCAAGCTATCCACTGGATTCTCCACTATTTAAAAGGTACACCGGACTCATGTTTGTTTTTCTTCGTCACAACTCTCGATCTATTGTTGTTTATACATGTGCTGATTGAGCCGGGTCGGTTCATGATCGACGTTCCACCTTGGGTTAATGCTATACTGTTTGGAGAAATATTGTCACATGGAAAAACAAAAACAACTGTGGTTGCCCGTAATAGTGCTGAAGTTGAATTCCAGTCCATATCCTTGGGGATCTATGGAGCTCTCTTGTTATGATTATGTTCCGTGAACTTCGTATGCAAATCTCCGTCCCGCAGCAGCTAATATGTGATAATAAGACCATTATCAGTATTGCTCATAATCCAGTTCAACATGATCATCGAAACATGTGGAGATTGGTAGACACTTCATTAAGAAAAATTGAGTCCGGGGAGATGTTTTTCTTTTATGCCCACCAGTGGTCAACTAGCAGATATCCTCACCAAAAATCTTTTTTGTTCTTTGTTTGATGACTTAAAATTCAAGTTGAACATGATTGACATCTATGTTTTAAATTGAGCAGGAGTATTATATTTATTAGATTTCCATAGTTGTTATTATTTATTAGTTCTCCTTATTTTGCATTATGTAGTTTTCTTTTTATATTTTTTCTGTTTTTATTTTTTGATTGTGTTTTTATTTCTTTTCTCATTTGAGTCCATTATAATTTGGTTTAGATACCCCTCTTCGTATCAATGAGAAATATGTTGCCCTGTTCACCAATTCACCACATATTTTATCCCATGTATTTTCCCAATTTGATTATTATATTACTTGATCAGATAGCTTGTCATTTCTCAAAATCTTTACGGACGTCTAAAATGGGAAGATCCTTTCTTTGCTCTTTGATAATTTTTCCTTGAGAAAGAAGGAGAACCTCATGATAGTTCTTCCGAGCTTAAAGCCCAATTGATTTGTGTAAATACTTGTAGATATTCAAATCTGGTAAAACTTGATGAATGTTTTTGCATTTTCCTTGCAATAGATACATGCATCTACTGCTGATGTTTATTTGAAAACCTTTTTTCTTATTGCTTAATTGGTATTTTTTTTTAATTGCATGTCTATATTTGATATCTGAAATCACTTGTCATCTCTTTTCCTTTTTTCTTCCTTATTCATATAATCTTTATTTGAAGGACTTTAATTTATTATTGATATTCACTCCGAATAGAAAAATCTATTTTCTCTTGATAGTGTCAATACCAAAGAAAAACAGATTTAACATTTATCTATTGTTGCAGTTGTCATCCATCAAGTGCAATTTGAATGAAATGGATTCTATTTTGAATGTGGAAGATAATGCTCATACTGAAAGACTTATTCCTTCGAGGCACTCTTTTTTTATTAGAGAGTTTCGGTGAGTATTGCTTTTCATTTTATGAATGGAGTTGTGGCAGCTTCTATGTTTTTTTTTAAAATTTATTTTTTTGCTATTTTCAGAATATGAACACGATTTTGTGATTTGATACCATCAAAACATTTATTCGATTGCTTTGCTTTCATCATATATATATATATATATATATTTATTTATTTATTTTTTTTTCTGGAAACCTGGTTCGCCTTGAATAATATATGCAATGATGGATACTGGAGTGTAGAGTTTTGGTGCTCATTCCCCCTCTAGCGGCAAGAATAAACAAAATATATTGGATATCAAGCATGTCAGCATTAGTTTTAAATGATCCAGAAAATTTTTTTTCCTTATTTTCTATTAAATGAAAATATGACACTCATTAGGATGCAATGGAGAAAAATGATTCATGTACCTGACTCCACTTAGTGGGATAAAAGTTTTGTTGTTGTTCCTTCATATATTCTATTAGAAACAATTACTCACCTCTGTTTTATTATTATTATTATTATTATTATTTTTTTTTTTTTTTGGAGTAATACAACCTTGCTTTCTGAACTTGTGCTTTTTTGGATTGTACTTAGGATGAAAAGAGGATTTTTTCATGATGGGCAGGATTTAGTTTCGTAGGTTTATTTATTTATTTATTTTTTGCTATTCAACATTTTTCCCAACTGTGTTATACCCTCTTAATAATTGTTAGTTAACTTAAAATTAGAATTTAGTATGTTTTTATGAGCACATTGGTAAACAAATGTTTTGATTCATAACTTCCGAGGGCTTAATGATCAATTTTAGTTACTCTTGAAACTGCGTTTGTCATATAAATTTCATTTATATGTAAATGACATTAAGAACTCATATAATTTGATTGAGTGGTTTAAGCAAGCCTTTAAATTTGTTCTTGTGAACTTATAGCCTAGCAAGTTGGACGTGCACCATGCGGTGACAAATGAAATACAAGCTTTTGACTAAATATATTATTAGTTTAGTGTGTTATCTATCGGTGAAAATACACTTGTTTAACTTTGAAAGTAAATAACTGAATATAATGCATGGCTGACCTTACATCTTTTTTCAGAAAAGGTTTCCTTTTGAATGCCTCATTGAGGATTTTCCCTTGACAGCTTAGTGACTTGCTCTGAATTCCTAATTTACGATCCGGCATTACCCTTTTAGCCTCTGTTGCCCATCCTATTATTATTCTAACCGATATCTTGATTCTTTCACATTGTCTAGGGACCCTAGATCGGTGACAATTTAATTGTAAAATTTTACTAAACGTTATCTTTTTTATATCATTAAACTTCTATCATATATATACTTTTAAATGCTTTATATTTTACAACAAATTATATGTTAAAACATATAGCAACAATCTGTCTGTACATTAAACCTGAAGGAGGAAATGTTCAAGATTCAACGTTTTAACGGGGTTTAATAATAAATATTTAAATTTATTTTATATAGTTGAAATATTAGAGTAATGATATATTAATATCATTTTTAACGATTTAAAAAATAATATTTTAAATTAAGATAAATTTTTTGAATATTTTGAATATTATTCTAAATAATAAATTTAAGACATGACATTCTCTCTGTTTTTAATCTAAATATCTTATTTCTGATAATCCGATCAAAATCAAAAGATTAAAATTAACGAAATTTGAATCAGTCGGTTCCTTAAAAACTGGGTTGCTTCGCCTTTTTAGTGGTTCAACCTTGGTTCGAACTGGTTTAGTCTCATTTCTGTGCAAAAATGGTCATGAGCTTGGTCTGAGCCGGTCAAACCTGTCAGTTCGGTTCGATTTTTAAAACCATGATAACAATTGCTTTAAAACCTGATCCTCATTTAGGATAGATTTTATGATCTCATCTTCCTAAAATAACTATTACTGTAATATCCGATGAGCTTAAAATCTCAACAGGATAAGCAAATTCCAAAATAAAATTCAAATATTCAATGAATGAAACTAATATGATACGGTAATCATGAAATGGATTTGAAAAAGCAAAATCAAATGTAGGTTACTCAAGCACTTAACATCTTATCAGTATAAAATGTTATTACCGGAATAGCCTAATAATACAAAGGCAATCTTATTGAAGAATATTTTAAAGTGATGTTCAATGTTCAGTCACGTGCACTCTGCTAGTAAAGCTTATAGGTACGAAGATAAGAAATTAATCTTTTCAAAATATTCATTTAGTTTTTAACTTGGAATACTTTATTTTAATTTTAGAATACACATTTAGTGGAATGTATTCGACTCACCACAAATCTTGGGATTAAAAATTTAGTTTGAAGGTTACATATTGAGGACTTTTGTCTTTACAAGGGTTATCTTTATTGTCATGTTTAGACAAGTCATTATAAGCATATCAACTTAAGGACACTTCTGTCTCATATTCACTTAGTATTATCTTCCAACCCAAATAGATTATCCTAACATTATAACTGAAGGACTCTTTTACATCCTTTTGGGTTTATTTTTGTCGCCTTACCTGTTTAGGGTGTGAACATCTAAGCTTGATAATTTTTTTGCTTTTATATAGGTTCTTCATCGTTACCCTATTTGTTTATGGTTTTATAAACATATTATTATCAAACTATCTCACATAAATGATATTTCTTATGCTCTTTTCATTTATATTGTTAGTCAGTTGAGTTCATATATCATTAATCTTTCACATGCAGTTTAATTATGTGCATTAATCTGTAGCTAATAAGGGTATGTTGTTCTGCTTCAGAATACATTTCAATAAAAATGTTAACATAATTCTAATTTATACTGTCACAATTTATAATGACACAATGACACTTAATCATTTAATCTTATTGGGTAGGACATAAATGTACACTTTACAATATGACAAACTTTTTAATGCATGATTTATGAGTTTAACTTACATATTGACATTTAGGAGTTTAACTTACATATTGACAGTTAGGAGTTTAACTTACATATTGACACAAGGTTTCCAATTAGTAAAGTAAAATTATTTTTCGAATTAGAAATTAAGTTTCTTACCATATTGACATTTAACTATGTGATAAATTTGCTTGATATGGTCAATTCGAAACTTTGATCTTCTGTAAATAATTTATGAAATACAAATTTGTCAATTTATAATTTTTTTTTAACTTCTCAACTTAAATACATTAAAAAAACCTCAAGTTAAACTTTTAATTTAAGCTTTAGAAAATTGATATTTAAAATTGAGGTATCTTTTATTTAGCGAGACTAGGACTAAGCTTCAAGTTGGATCGAGGTGTAAGCCTAAAAGTTGGATCGAGGTGTAAGCCTAGTAAGCCTAAAAAAAAAAAAAAGAATTAAATATTATTCATAGCAATGACAAAAACCATCAATATATTGATGGGATACTTACATACATACCACGATTCTTGTGTATTTATTTATCTAATGTCTAAAGTGATATTTACACTCATAATATCTTCAATTTCATAAATATATGCTTGAAATGTGTATTTAATTTTAAAAAGTTAGTAATGATGATACCTTATATGTGATGTTAAAGTTTTGGGTGTTGCATATGTAAATTTAAAAATTTAGGAGTTAACCATGTAAATGCAGAAATATTATGTTATGTATGTAAATGTCCCTGTATATATTTAGTTTATTATCAAAAAGCCAAATTATAAATCTCAATATTAAATGTTAATATAAAATGAAAAATTGAAATGCGATGAAAGTTAGCCTAGCCCTCACTTTTATCTTCTTTAGAAAATCAATAAATGTAATAATTTTATTATCATCTTATACTGTTTTATTGGCGTCTTCCAAATTTTCTTCAATTACTAAATTTTTTTTCTTACTCTCTATGGTAATTAACATTAGATCCATTATAACTCAAATTAAAATAAGAAATTAATATTGCAATTAAGTAATTGTGCTTATTTCTTGACTGTGAATGAGAGTTCACAAAGTGCCGAAAGCTCTGTAATCTCATAATTATTCTCATGTCTTGAAGCTTAAGAAGAATTCTCACTTGTGATTATTGCAAGAAAATCAGGTATCTCAAAGTTAAATGTTGGAAATTCTATGAAAAACCCACTGATTGAAAATCTGGACATGGAAGAGCAAGGTTAATGCTGTTACCACATTTGAAGGGTTGATTGATACATCCACCAAGGAACAACTAGAGATACTGAAAAAACTCTTTGGGCGTAATTCAAAACGACACACCAATCTCATGACACACTAAGGTAATATATCATTTTTCCATATTGCCATCAATGAGAGATTTAGATTTGGGTCATAGATTCAGGGGCTTTTGATCATATGATTGGAGACATTATTGCTCTAGTCAACTATCAAGAGATTATTACATCTATATCTATTAGACTTGCAGATAGATCACATTAAAAATTGTTAGAAAAAGAGATTTAGAATTCTCTCAAGATATTACTCTTTCCTCTTTTTTTATGTTTTGTAGTTGGACTGTAATTTAATTTCAATCAACAAGCTTGCTTTTGATATGAAGGGTCTGTTTGGGGTAGCTGCAACTTATCCAGCTTATCCAGATAAACAACTTATCTTGATGTGCTGACTGATTGTTTGGGGTAGTTGTTTCAATATAGTTGATTTGCAGTTGTTTGTGGATAAATGATCATTCCGCCTCTATTGAGTAATGTTGTTTATATCAGAACTGTCTTAGCAATATATTCGATATTGCAAAAACAGAAAACTAATACAAAATAGTAAAGACAAAAGTCGAAACAATCCTCACTTAAAAGTGAGTATCAAGATTGATAAAAAAACAAAAATAATTATTAAAATTACACTTAAAATTATGATAATATTAATTTTGTAATTGAGACGGAGTATGTCATGAGATACACTGTCCTCCAGGGATACCGTAGATCTCTGATTGATCACTATCGACAATGGAGTCTGACGGACTGTTCGCCCACCGGAAGAAATCACCTCTCCGGGACGCTCCACGGACAACTGTAGAACAGTCTCTCGTAACTGTGT